TAGATTATGGGAGACAAGGGCAAAGGCAGAGAGACTGGTGAGTAGGACATTACAGTCGGCCAGGCATGAGAACGGGTGGCTTAGATTAGAGAGGTACGAGCAAATACAGCACTCATTTCTAAATGTATTTTTGAAGGCAGAACTAATAATATTTGCTGACGAATTGGATAATGGGTTGAGTAAAAGAAAGTAGTCAAAGATGACTCCAAGGGCAAACTAGATGGATGGAAAAGGCCAATGAGGAGAAACAGGTTTGGAGGAAGAGATTAAGACTCCTGAATTTTGAATATGATAAGTTTAAGATACCTAATAGGCATCTTGATGAGAATGTCAAGTAGTTATTAAGTTAAAAGTCAAGGTCATGAGATAGTAAATTTGGAATTTGCCAGAGTATATTTAAAATTATGGGGAACATTGCGTGGGAAATGAGTGTGGAGAGAAAAGAGAGCCAAAATGTGGTCTAATCTGATCACATGGGCTCAAAAGCTGAAGGGTTTTAGGAAGAATGAAGGACAGTGACCTCAAGTGGCTCTGAGGAGCAGTCAGGGCACCGCTCACCTTCATACTCAGTGACGATTTTGTTCGAGTGATCCTATCTTTTTTTAAACAAAAAGAATAATTTTATTCAGCATTATTATTTTTTAATTTGACCAGAGAGAGAGAAAGAAAGTGAGAAACCAAGCCACCAGGTCCAGGACTTGAACCATGGTTGGTCATGTGGGAGACCAGAAACTTAACCACAATGCTATCTGCTGACCCCAGTCCTATTTGTTTTTAAAAAGTGGGAATCCAGACTTCTTAAAAATTTTATTTCTTTTCCTTTTTTTTCAAGCTTTTGCTATAGGGTGTGTGCACTCTCCAGGGAGAGACAGGTAAAGGGAAAGTGAGAAGTCACTGTCCAGGAAGGATGGCCACATTGCAGTTCCTCCTCCAAACTTCTTTCCAGATCTTAGGCGTGCACACACACGTTTGGCATGTTTTTCAAGCCACCAGGTCCAGGACTCAAACCATTAACCACCACGCCACCTGTTGGCCTGGGAACCCTGAAATTTAACGCAGAACCCTACTCTACAAAATAAAACCAAGTAGAATGTGCACAGGGGAGTGAGAGGCTCACTGATTCTCTCACCTTCCTCCTCCAGCCTCTCACTTTCCAAGGCCCTAATTCCTGCTGCTGCCTTATAACCCCCTTCAAAACCACTGCCCTTCAGTGCTATCAAGCACACCTAATCCTGTTCCCCTCCTGCTAAAAACCCTTCAGAGGCTCATTAGCTTCTAACAGGGCTCATCAAGGCCCTCTCTGACCAGCTATTTCTCTGGCTTCTGTCTCACATCCCCCCACTTTGCATTCTGTCTCCATCTACACTGACCTTGTTTCAGTTCCCCAAAGCCTCAAAATTATTTCTTCTGGGCTTTTGCATATGTTGTCCTGTCTGCTTAGAAGCTTCAGTTTTTTTACACCTGTGCTCATCCTCAGGTTTCAGTTTACACTTCATTTTTCCCCTGCAGCACCCTCTTTTAAAATTTATGTCCTCCTGCTCTTTTCTTTCTTTCTTTCTTTTTCTTTTTTTTCCTGTATTTGCCCTATCCTAACACTTCCTGCACTTTAGACATAGTTTGTGCCTTTTTTTAATCATCTGTCATTCTTATCAGGATGGAAGCTCCCTTGGAGCAGGGACCGTCTCTGCCCCTCTTACTATTTTATCACTGCCACAGGGCCTGGTCCACAAAAGCACTTAATAAATGTTGATTCTTTGAATGAAGGATATGTAACTTTTTAAAAAAATAATTATTTTATTATTTATTTATTCATTCATTTATTTCATTTTTTTATTTTGACCAGAGAGGGACAGAGCGAGAGAGAAAGAGAGAGAGGGAAAGTGGGAGAGCAAGCCTCCAGGTCCAGGACTTGAACTGTGGTCGGCCATGTGGGAGTCCAGCGTCCTTAACCACCACGCCACCTGCCGTCCCCTAGGATATGTAACTTTTATGGTGAATTGTGTTTAACAATATGGGGATTTGAGAGAATGTCTTTTTTTTTTTTTTTTTTAAGGTTTTTGCCATACGGCATATGCACTTGCTGGAGAGAAACAGAGAAAGGGAAAGTGAGAAATCTACCCCCAGGAGGGTGATCATACTGCAATCCCTTGATCTCCATTCTCCTGGATTTTAGGCACGTGTGCGCACATGCCTGGTCTAATTTTTAAGCCACTGGGTCCGGGACTTGAACCATGGTAGGCCATGTGGGAGTCCAGTGCCTTATCCACCATGCCACCTGCTGGCCCCCAAGGATGTCTAAATTTTATACCAGACTGTGTTTTTTTTAACTGAAGAATTATTTACTTAATTTTAGTCATCGTCATTATTATTTTAGTTCACCAGAGAGAGAGAGAAAGTGAGAAAGCAAGCCTCCAGGTCTAGACTAGAACCATAATGGGTCATATGGAAGTCCAGCACCTTAACTACAATGCCACCTGCTGGCCACCAGATTGGTTAGAGGAAAAATAAGGAAATGTAATAACGTGTGGTAAAATTATATCTTTTCAAAACACATACTGCAGTACAAAAGGAGAAATATATAAAATTATCATGTTAAGATGGCTGAATTAATACCTGTTTTCCTTAACATATTTAAGATTTTCTGTTTTAATAATGTTTTTCTTAGAATTATTTATTTAATTTCTATTTGTTTTATTATTTAATCTGCTATAAGGCACATACTCACCAGAGAGACACACACCAGAGATAGAGAGACAGAGAGAGAGACAAAGTGAGAAAGTAAGCTGCCAGATCTGGGATTCAAACTGTGGTTGGCCATGTGGGAGTTCAGTGCCTTAACCAGCATGCCACTTGCTGGCCCTATTTTAGATTTTCTATAATTTTCTTTCTTTTTTTTTAAGAAAGATTTTTGCTATAGGGTGTTTCCTCACTGGGAAGACAGAGAGAAAAGGCGAGAAATCACTCCCCAGGGGAAATGGCCACACTGTAATCCCTCCTCCATTTTCCTCTTGGGATCTTGGGCCCCCATGCACACACGCCTGGCGTGAGTTTTAAGCCACTGGGTCTGGGACGCAAACTGTGGTCAGCTATGTGGGAGTCCAGCAACATAACCATTATGCCATAATTTTATTTATTTTGTTTAAAATGTTTTAAAGAATCCATTCTAATTTCTTGTACATTTTAAGCATCTTAAGTATAGCATCTTTAATTTTTTGGTTTATTTGTTTCTTAGTTTGATTCAGTCCTCAGTTCTCAAGACCATTGTTTTTACCGGAAACAATGTAAAATATCTTGGTTCCACCCTCTGCTTTAGTAAATCAAAAAAACTTTCCATTTTCAGTATTCATTTTTCTAAGGTAAAGTATTATATTCAAAACAGCATAAATAATACTATTGTTTTTATTACTTTTTTCTATTTATCAAATTAACGTTCGTGTTTTTTTCTCTCCCCCTGAAACACTGTCGTCTTTATTATAGAAATCATATGTAATTATTAAATATTTGTAATGTGTCTGTGTTAACTCTGTCTTCAAGTAGTTGAGGTAGCAACTGTTACAGATAAAGGATTTTAGGCTCAGAGAAGTTACATGCCTTACTGAAAGTCACAACTTGGTTAGCAGTTTACTTAGATTAACTCAAGGATCTTCTCATTCTTAGTAAAGCCCCCCATGTGCAATATTACACAGTAAAGTTTTTTTTCCTATATATTCTTTTTAAGAATTTTTTTCTTGGGACCAGCAGTTGGTGTAATGGCTGTGTCACTGGTGGATTCCCATATGGCTTCCTATAGTTAAGTCCTGAGCCTGGCGGCTTGAGAGTCAAACCAGGTGTATGTGTGTTCTCAAAACAAGGGAGGAGAGGGGATTGTGGTGTGGCCATTCCACCCAGGGAGTGATTTCTCACTTTCTGTCTCTCTGTCTCTCTCTGTCTTTCTGGTGAGCACACACGCCCTATAGCAAAAACCTCTCCCCAAAAAAGAATTTTTTTCTTTTCAATTTGCTATAGGTCGTGTGGGTTCACCAAAGAGAGATGTGGAGAGAAAGGGAGGGAGAAAATGAGAAATCACTCCCTGGGGAAGGTGGCCACACCATAATCCCTTCTCCTACATTCTCTTCTCGTGATTTTGGACATGCACGGACATGGCGCCCAATGTATTTTTCAAGCTGCTGGGACTGGGACTTGAACCACATAATTGGCTATGTGGGATTCAGCTGCCTTAATCTCCATGCCATCTGCTAGCCCCATTAAGCATAATTTTTCAGGCCAGCCTATGGCCTGGTAGTTAAGGCAGCTGGATTCCCGCATGGCTGACTCTGCCATAAGGCAGCTGGATTCCCACATGGCTGACTCTGCCGTTTGAGTCTCAGACCTGGCAGCTCAAAACACATACTGGGCCAGTGGGTACATGTCCAAAACCCCAAAGGAAGGAGAGATGGAGGACAAGGAATTGCGGCATGACTGCACCCTTCTAGCAAAAAAAAAAAAAAAAAGTATCTTTATCTACATATGAATGAGGGCTACAGTGTATTTCTAGTTTAAGGCTATTGCTAATGTTAAATTTGGATAAAACCTGTCTTTTATGTTAGGTTAAAAAAAAAAAAATCAAATTTTGGGAGGGCCAGCAAATGATGTAATGGCTGCATCACTGAATTCCCACATGGTCAACCACTGTTCAAGTCCTGGACCTGGTGGCTTGAAACACCCCGGTGCATGTGCATGCGCATGCCCCAAATCTCGACATGCCCCAAATCCCGAGAGACTGGAGAAGGGGTTGCCGCATGGCCATCCGCCTGTGGGGAGGTGTGTGGTAAGGGATTGCCGCATGGCCATCCGCCTGTAGGGAGGTGCGTGGTGTGTGATTGTTTGCTTTCTGTCTCTGTCTCTGGCGAGCGCACACACCCTATAGCAGAAATCTCTCTTAAAAACAAAACAAAATAGAACAGTTTTTTTCTGAAGTTCTTTGTACCCTGCATTCTGATGTTCATTTTCTTTCTCCACAGTTGTGCATGCCTAAAGGACTGTCTTTCAGAACGCAGACTGACAACAAAGACCCTCAGTTCCACTCGTTTATCATTACTCGGGAGGATGGCTCTCGTACCTACGGTTTTGTCCTCACGTTTTACGAAGAAGTCACCAGTAAGCAGATCTGCACGGCGATGCAGACGCTCTACCAGATGCACAACGCCGAGCACTACAGCAGCGTGTACGCGTCCTCCTCCTGCAGCATGGACTCGCTGGCCAGCAGTGTCGATGAGGGAGATACAACTTCCCTGTCGAAACTCCAGCGATACAACTCCTACGACATCACCAGAGACACCCTGTATGTTTCCAAGAGTATCTGCTTGATCACACCGCTACCTTTTATGCAGGCCTGCAAGAAGTTCCTCATCCAGCTCTACAAGGCCGTTACCTCACAGCAGCCCCCACCCCTACCGCTTGAGAGCTACATCCATAACATTCTCTACGAGGTACCCCTTCCACCTCCAGGGAGGTCCCTGAAATTCTATGGTGTCTATGAACCCGTCATCTGCCAGAGGCCTGGGCCCAACGAACTCCCCCTCTCGGATTACCCGCTGCGAGAGGCCTTCGAGCTCCTGGGGCTAGAGAACCTAGTGCAGGTGTTTACCTGTGTTCTCTTAGAGATGCAGATCCTTCTCTACTCACAAGGTGGGTCTCCTCCGATTGTAAGTTCTCCAAAAACAAGTACTTCTGCTCTCAACTGCTGTCTTTTTCCAAGGGGAATATTATTAGAAGCAAATAATTAAAAGTCAGATGTCTTTTCTGTTTTGTATCAAAGGAACAGCTTTCGGGAAGACCAAAGGCTGAGACGTTGATTCCCTTAGAGGGCGCAGCAGAAAGCAGCAGGAAGGAATACAAAAGTGTCAGCTTGGCTGATTGGGGCGTACTTATTCCTAGTGGAAATAGTCCTTTTTCATGATAATGTGTAATCATCATAGAAGTAACCTGTCTTTTCAAAATGAGAGCCAGAGGGTCCTGTTACCGTCAGGAACATGGAGACTTCCTTTTCTTTACAGATTAGTGAGGGGTCACATCCAAACCCCCGGCCGACATTGGAAAGGGATAAGTAAAACTGTCGACTCTGCAGTTTCCCAAGGCCGTCAGCTTTGGACCTTTGCCTGTGGGAGCGCTGCGTGTGGTAGAAGGGAAGGGGGTGCAGGCGTGAGACAGACGTGACTTCCCAGTGTCTGGTCATCCAGCCAGAGTTCTGTACGCGTGATTTTTCATTTTGTTTTGTTTCCCTAAGTCCCAAAGGATAGTCATCTTAGTGGTATCTTTTGTTCAGAGTTCTCTCGACACGGGAGACTGACGTGGTTTTATTTAACAGTGCGTTTACAGTAGCCGATGTTGAGCCTGGACTGGGATACCACTTTCCTTTTTAATATGAATTCACGGAGGAAATAGAGATGCTCTGTGTTAATGGATAGTAAGTTGAAGGAAATTATAAAACGGTACCTGCGCATTGATGGAGCCTTTGAAAAATGTGGCGTCAACGTTTGGGTTAGCGTTGTGCCGACGTGCGTAGGCTGGCAGGATCGTGCAGCCTTCTGACTGCTGCCGTCAAGCTTATTTTACCACTTTCTTTTTTTTATTTTTCTATTTTAAATTATAAGTGAGGCTGAGCCAAGTGGGCTATATTTGTACTTCCCATCTTGTGTGTATGTTGACACTATTTGTGTGTTGACAGCCCTTCACGAGGTTGTATTTTCTTCAGTTTATCCTATAACGTTCTTTGATAATGTGTTCCAATGTCTTGATTTTTGTTGACAGGAAGTTCTTTTCTAGTGGCCAATCTAAATTCATTCCTTTCCTCTTTCTCCCACTTTCTTAGTGCTCAGCATTACCTGTACATAATCCTATTTTGTATCTGAAAGATTTAACTTTAATTCTCTCTTCCTTCTCTCCTTTTCCCTGAAGGAGATGGGAGTTGGAGGGGCCTACAAGGGGCTGAGACTTGGAGCTTAATACTCAGGTGTGCTGGCACATTGGGAAAATGAACTCTAGATTCTAGACTTTGAAGGGATCTTACAGGCCACTTCTTTTCCTAATGTTCTGCCTTAGACAAGCAGTTTGGGTCAGAAAGGATATTGGCCTTTTTTTTTTTTTTTTTTTTAAGAGAGGTTTTTGCTATAGGGCGCGTGCGCTCGCCAGACAGACAGAGAGACAGAGAGACAGAAAGCAAGAAATCACCCCCCAGGGGGAATGGCCCCCCCGCAATTCCTTCTCCTCCATTCTCCTCTTGGGATCTTGGGCAAGCACGCACACGCGCCCGCCGTGAGTTTATGCCACCAGGTCCAGGACTCGAACCTCAGTCGACTACATAGGAGCTCAGCGACATAGCCATTACGCTAACTGCTGGTCCCAAGGGATATTGGCCTTTGAAATCTGAGCAATCCTGGGTTCCATCTCTTGTCTTTCACTTTGTCCACAGACATGTTGTATCATCTTCCTGAGTCCAGTCTCCTCATCTTGGGCAGAATAACCGTTTTTGGGTTTTCTCCCCGTGCCTCCCACCCCACTAATCTGTTGTGAAGATTAAATGACAAAATCTATTAAAATAATTAGGGTGTAATGGTACTGACTAAAGGATAACTGGTGATGTTGTAATTATTTATTACTCATTTTATTAGTCCTGTATAACCCTGTATAAATTATGCATGTCTTAAATTGTGAAGGTCAAACATATTACTGCATTTAAATTATAATGTTGTTAAATAGTCATAATATCTGTTCTAGGGTTAAAGACTCATACATGTACTTTTATGCTGGGTGCCATGCTTGTTTTAGGGAACAAAAAGTGAAAAATGTCCCATTATCACTCTTTTTTCTTTTATAATTATTTTTAAATTTTTATGTATTATTTTTATTTAATTTTTTTTTTTTAATTTTCTATAGAGCACATGCACTCGGGAGAGAGAGAGAGAAAGTAAGTTGCTGGGTCTGAGACTTGAACCATGGTTGGTCATATGAGAGTCCAGCACCTTTACCACACACCAACAACTGGCCCCCACATACCTCTTTTTTCATTTTTTTTAAGAGAGATTTTTGTTTTAGGGTATGTGTGTGCTCACGAGAGAGAGAAAGAGACAAAGAGACAGTGAGAGGGAAAGTGAGGAATCACCTCCTAGTGGGGATGGCCATGCTGCAATCCCTTCTCCTCCTGGGATCTTGGACATGCATGCACATGCGCCCAGCGTGAGTTTCAGGCCACTGGGTCTGGGACTCGAACTGCAGTGGGCCATGAGGGAGTCCAGCAACATAATCACTAATCATAATCATCTGCTGGCCCGGTACTGCCTCTTTTAAATAGCACTTTATGTCTCACTGCTTGTGGTCTGTTCTGAGCCCTCATTTTTCTTTTCTGCTTCAAGCTTGTCCCATTTAGTTTATGGAGTCTGTTTGTTGAGAAGTTTTAGTTGATTGATGTCTACAGATTTATTTCCGTTTCAAATGAATAAGAATGAATATTTATGGACATGTTTTTGTACTTCAAGTATTTTTGGATAACTTGATCTTATGCTGAGTACAGAGTGAATCCAGAGATTACAGAACTGAATTTTTTTTTTTTTTTTTAAGTATCATACTAAAAAAGTGCCATGGGGGTAAGTTTATAACCATTCACTAAAATCAGTGTACGTCAAGAATTAGACTGCAGAAATGCATCGTACATTTTGGTCCTCCCCACACACACTATCTAATCTTCTCAGCAGCGAGTATTGTTATCCATGTTTTTCCAAGGAGGACATTGAAATCTAAAGAAGCTGAGGACCAGCAGTTAGCGTAATGGCTATGTCGCTGGATTCCCACGTGGTCAACCGCGGTTCGAGTCCTGGACCCGGTGGCTTAAAACTCACGCCGGGCGCGTGTGCGTGCGTGCCCAAGATCCCGAGAGGGGAATGGAGGAGAAGGGATTGCGGCGTGACCATCCCCCCCGGGGGGTGATTTCTCGCTTTCTGTCTCTCTGTCTCTCTCTGTCTGTCTGGCGCGCGCACACGCCCTATAGCAAAAACCTCTTCAAAAAAAAAAGAAGCTGAGGAATCCACCCCAAATCATGTAGCTAGTCAGTGATGAGCGACCTTGAGAATCAGGTGTGAACCCATCTTTCTCCAGGGTCCTCATCTCTGTGGGGCACTGTGCTTAACCTTCCTTTGTCTGTCTCAGCATTTGTTTTCAATGGTTAATTTACTCTGTAGGTTGTTGTAAAGGTATACTAAATGACTGTAGCATATATAATAATGTGAAAGCTCTGTGTAAACGCAGACTCTAACACTGACTGTGGCTCCCCCCATTAGAGAAGGACGTTTCATTTCGGTGGATGAAGTAAAAGAGCCGTTGTGTCGATTTGTGGCCTGGTGCCCTCCTTCATTCCTCCTGACTCTCTGTTAAGGAGGTTTTAATAACATCTGATATTTCATTACTTCTTCACTGATAAAACTATGCCATAAAATTTTAAAATACTGCTCGTGTTTAGCAATTACCATGAAAACCCAAAGTGAATCAAAGTAGAATTATTTCAATGATGAGCATGTCCTTCTAGACTGATTTGAAATTCTCGTCCATAGCTCATGTAAACAGATTCAGCCTGTACTTAGAGCGCGTATATCACAGTTACCTTGCAGTAGTAACTAGCTCAGAATTTAAGTAGAGAATGCACAAGGAGTACAAGGCTTTTTTTCTTAGGACTCCCTGATCAGCAAAAAGCACTTCTGGGGCCAGCAGGTGACGTGGTGGTGAAGGCGCTGGACTCTCGTGGCCAGCTGCAATTCGAGTCCCGGACCAGGCAGCTTACTTTCTCACTTTCCCTCTCTCTCTCTTTCTCTCTCTGGTGAGTGTACGTAGTAAAAGAGCCGTTGTGTCGATTTGTGGCCTGGTGCCCTCCTTCATTCCTCCTGACTCTCTGTTAAGGAGGTTTTAATAACATCTGATATTTCATTACTTCTTCACTGATAAAACTATGCCATAAAATTTTAAAATACTGCTCGTGTTTAGCAATTACCATGAAAACCCAAAGTGAATCAAAGTAGAATTATTTCAATGATGAGCATGTCCTTCTAGACTGATTTGAAATTCTCGTCCATAGCTCATGTAAACAGATTCAGCCTGTACTTAGAGCGCGTATATCACAGTTACCTTGCAGTAGTAACTAGCTCAGAATTTAAGTAGAGAATGCACAAGGAGTACAAGGCTTTTTTTCTTAGGACTCCCTGATCAGCAAAAAGCACTTCTGGGGCCAGCAGGTGACGTGGTGGTGAAGGCGCTGGACTCTCGTGGCCAGCTGCAATTCGAGTCCCGGACCAGGCAGCTTACTTTCTCACTTTCCCTCTCTCTCTCTTTCTCTCTCTGGTGAGTGTACGTGCCCTGTAGCAAATTAAATAATAATTATAATTTTTAAAAAAATTTAAAAGAGCATCTGTAGCCTAAAAATACTTGGAGCAGGACGGTGGGAAGATTGGAGTATAATCCTCTTTTCAAAAGAATAGTGGAGAAGTAAAAGATAGGGGAATTTAAACACCAGTGTCTAGCTTTGATACCGGTAATTAAAGCCTCTGGAGCGTTCCCTGGCCTTGCTCATTACCTCTTTTGGCTCTTCACAGTGGAAATAAGCAGTTGCCCACTGCCCACAGCACAGATGCCTCTGTGCCTTCGCA